CCCTTCTCTGCTTCTGGTCTGGATCCCAGCCACCCTGGATGACGCCTTATTCTCCGAGTCCCTCCTCACCCAATGCCTCCCCCTCCCCCTTGCTCATGCTGTACCTTCTGCCTGGCCTGGGCTTCTCGGGGCGCCAGGCAATTTCTGTCCGCTCATCCACATCCTCTACCCAGCCCTTGCCACCCTGCCCTGCGCCCTCAGGGGCTGGTCTCTTTGGGTTGCATCAACAAGTTCCTTTGCCTGGAGATCCAGTCTGGTCCCCTAATGGAAGGTAGAGGAAAAGGGTATGTAGAATTTACACTTCCGACTCCCTCCTGACCAGAGTGCTGCAGGCTGGCCACCCCTCCCTGCTGGGAGCCACAAAGCCGGCCCCACACAGCCGCTCCGTCTGGGTCCCATGGCTGCTCCCTCCCCTCGACCCTACGGGCCAAGGATGGAAATAGCCCCCATGGTTGCTGACCCTGGCCTTGTCGTTGTCCCAAACCCTGCCGACACAGTAGCCAACAGCCTGTCCTTCAAAGCAGCCCCTCCTTCAGCTCTCCTTAATTATTCTGTCTGAATGCACCATCTGCTTCCTGCCCGGACCCTGACGGATACAGACGCATCTCCACCTCTCCCGCACGCCTGCTCAGTGAGGCCCGCCCCAGCCCAGCCGCCTGTTCTCCCTAGACACACGCGAGCTCAGCCTCCAGCGTCTCCGGCCCCCCTGTCTGTCATGAAAACTACAGACCAGACTGTCTTATGTGTGAATACAAGTCCCCCACTAAAGTGGAAGCCCCTCAGTGGTGAGGAATGGATCACACTCATGCCCAGCAGGCCCAGGGCATAGCAGAGAGGCTGGCAGAGGTAGACGGGCCCAATAAATGCCTGTTTAGAGGGCAGAAACAGTCACCACTTGGTTCCCTAAAATGATTTGGGATAAGATATATGCAAAAAGTTGGGCTGTGTAGTAATCAACCCTGGGATCATTAAGGCTTCTCCACCAGTTGCCGTAATCCTGGCTCCAGCCTCACTTGCATGCTTCAGGTGACGGGGAGCTCACTCACCTGCAGAGAATCACTCCCCTGGAAGGACCATTCTCATCAGGGATGGCATTATCTGTTACTCAGTTCAACGCTGACTCATCATTGCAACCCTCTGGTACCAGCCATGGCTTAAACCACACAGAACGATTCTGCTCTCTTGTCCGTGGGTCAGGCCTTGTGAGGCTTGAAATGCATGTGTCATGGCCCTGTGGTCACGGCCTTGTGTGAATTTCCCCGTCAAGGCCAAAAGCCTTGAAATGGTTGTACGACGGCTCCTGGCCCCTCGCTGTCCAATCCCCTCCTTTGTGCTCATCCTCCACGGGCTGCCATCGGAGCTACTAAGGAACACTCACTGCTGGTGTGGGGGAGCTCTCATAGTGCTGAGGGGCCCACTATCTGGTCTCCCACACTCCCTCCCTCAGCCCTTCCTAACCCCGAGCTCTCCAGGACAGCTGGGGAAACAAAAGAGAGTGAGAACCAAAGGTGAGGGGCAGGTATCTGTAGCCCGTAAGGACGTCAGGGCAGCGCTGTGCATGGCAGACAACCAGGGTGCAGGGATCTAGAGCCCCTTCACCCCAGTGTGACCACAAGGGGTGCGTGAGTGTGGCCTCAGTTTCCCTCAGTGCAGGGTGAGGGGTTCGGACCGATGATCTCCGAGGATGAGTCTGGGTCTGCAGCCCCAGATCTGCCCGCCTGGAGACTGTCCTGTAACATCGGAGAACGCTTGGGAACACGGACGGCAGCGGCCCAAGAACAGTTAGATAACAAATGAGTTCAAATGTGTTGAAAGAAATGGTACTTCTCGGATGGAGTCTGCCAATCTGCCCAGCTGCATCACGGGCGGCTCTTGTTTTACTCCAGGGAACCACTATAAATTGTCAGAATGATGGATTTTCATCAGGGCTACTCAAAGTAGGCACTGTCCCAACTATTTCTTCCTCATCTACCACACAGTGCGTACGGACATGAGGACGGAGACTTTAGGAACTTCTGTGGAACTGGGACACTTTCTCACTACTCTTGTGTCGTTTCATTTTATATCATTTTTTTTTTTTTTTTTTTTTTTGCCGTATACTACAAAGGTATTGGTAACATAGAGAAAAAATAAAACCTGGTTCTTCACTGTAGGGACCAACGAACCTCAGAATCTCAGAGGGACAGGGGTGGTGGGAAGAGAAGAAGCAAAGGAGCTACATGCATCTGTGTACTTCCCATGAACACAGACGGTAGTGCGGTGAAGGCCAGGCTGGGGGCTGGGGGCTGGGGGATGGGCACCGGGTGGAGGGAGTCAATGGGGGAAGAGGGGGGACATCTGTAATACTTTCAACAATAAAGATAAATTTTAAAAGAGAAGTCGTAATTTCAATATTGGAGGGGGTGGTGGAGAAATCCCCTTGGGTAAGAATTAAGTTCAGTTCTTCATCGAAAATCACCCGGACGACGGACAATATCACTCTAATCCCCACTCTCACGGGCTCCTGTCTCCCTTCCTTCGTTCACTCCTTCCTCCCTCTTCCTCTCTCCCTTTTTAAAGTCACAGAGTGAACATTTCTCTACCAACTCCACAGGTGTCTCTCTGCACACAGGAGAGCTGACTCGGCCAGGACGGTGTCCCCCCAACCCCGTCAGGAGGTAACGTGTGGCCCGGTGGGGCTCACCCGGGACACCCGACTTCCCCGGCCAGCAAACAGGCCCTGGCGTGAGCGGTCACAGGGCTGGCCCAGGGCCGCTCGCAGACACTGGGCACGCAGCCCCAGGACGCAGAAAGGAGGCCGGCCGCGGGAGCCCGCAGCTGTCTGCTGACTGGGAGGTGTAGGGACCGGGCCCCGCAGCCCTCCGCACCGGCACAGTGTGCCCACCACAAAGGCCGGCCGCCTGGGGCCCGACCCGGTCACACTCAGCAGCTTTCTCTGGAGGCTGTGGTGGAGCCGCCCTGCCTGTCAACCCTGTCCCTTAACTCTGCCCCCTATTGTTCCTTGAACTTAAAAATACCCCTGCCGTGGGAGCTCAGAAGTCCACAGACCTGAGTTCAAATTCAACCTCTCCATGTATTAGCTGAGTGAACTTGAGTAAATCCCCTCATCATTCTGAATCCTGGATTTCCTTCCGCCAAAAAGGGTTCAGGGTACCCACATTTCTGGCACTTGGTAGGAGCAAAACAAATATGTGGTAGATGAATGGATGATTGGATGAATGAGTGAGTGAATGAATGAATGACTTGTAGCTCTTCCTGGCCCTCCGCCCTCCCCCAAGCCCACTGTGCCTGGCACACTGGTAACTCCTGGGAGTCTAGCTCAGCAGAGAACACACTGCATTCATCTGGGAAGAGCTGCGTGTGTGACTTCACCAAATGACTTTCCTGACCCATGACCTTGGCCGAGTCATTGCACTCTTGAAGTTCCTCTGTTTCCCTGTCCATCAAACGCAAATGCTAATCTCTGTCTCGTCTTTCTTGCCAAATTCTGTCAAAGCCCATCTGAGAGCAGAGATGAAAGGACATCGTGACCTGGAAGGAACTGGCCACACACCAAGGCTTCTTCCCGCATGGGCTGCTCATGTGTCTGAGCCAAGGTGAGAGTCCAGGGCCTGCCTGGTGCCAGGAGGCTGAGCTCACGTGTTTTCTGGCCTGCAGCCAGGCACGGCCGTTCCTCTGCACATAGGTGTTCTGTCTGCACATGGGAGGCCCTGGCTCTTTCGAGAGAGGCGGAAAGAGAAGAGTCAGCAGGAAACCTGCAGAGGTCTGCAAACGCGCTGGGGCTAGAGCAGGTCCAGAGTCCTGCCTGCGGACAGAACGGGAAAGTTCAGCGTGAAACCGGGACATCCGGAAAGTGGATGCTGACTGTTTCTCTGGCTTGCAACTGGTTCTTCCCGGCCTCACGTTGACTATAAATCACCCATGGGTTCACCTTTGGGTTTTTCCTTGGGGTTCCTGGTCAGAGTTGATAGCATAAGACAGAGGTTGAGGGGGGCATCAGACAGAAGACCTTCCTTTCTACCCTCCTCTCAGCAGCACGTGAAGTTCCTCTGTCTCAAGTGTCCTCCCTTCTCCCCCGACCTGGGCTCTGATGTCCAAGTTGTATCTAACCCTCCCCTGGACACGCAAGTCAGTCTCCCTGTGACCTCCGGTTGCTCTCTCCCGTGCTACCCTTCATTACACAAATAACGACAAGTCCAAGGATGGAGAGTTGACTGAGTATGTGACCTGCTAGCCACGATGAGAGAGACGGTGCTTCACACAGGGGTGGGCAGAAGGACACAGTTTACTCCTGTATTATTATAACCATAACCTGCATGTCTTTTTCCATGCAAACAACTGTAAGCCCACCTTTGCCCACCCCGGTATGCCCTCTCTCAATCCTCAGAGCAGCTCAACAGAGTGGGCACCATGATTATCCCCACAGCTTTCACAAGTCACGTGAGGAACTAGTGTCACTGAGATTTGAACCCAGGGTATCTGACCCCGGCTGACCCCAGCTTCACACGCACTGGCCAACAGACCACGCTGCCCTGCCCGGTACGGGAGCCCCTCACCCAGGCAGCTCTGGTGTACCTGACATGCGGATAGGGTGGCTAAGAACTGAATTGTACCTTCTATCTCATCATGTAATTTACCAGTAACGAGTCACAAGGGGCTGGGGACCACCTACCGGACAGCACAACTCCAGCCACTCAGCCTCGTACGTTTCAACAGCCACGCGCTCCTGGCTCGTGGCACCCAATCTAGACTCGGAGCTCTCTGAGAAGGCCGGGTGCTGAGTTCTCCTTCTTATCCCAGAGTAGGCAGCCGACCAATGTTTTTGTAATGACTGTGCTCGTTTTGGTCCCCGTGATCCCTTGAGTAACAGCCCGGTGTCAGTCACGAAGCTGCCGTGTGGGCTGGAGACTTCCTGTGCCGTCTAGGGGCCTCGGGGGACTTGCCTATACAAGGGGGAAGCTCAGCTCCCAGCGGGGCATCGTCTGCCCAGCGGGCCTTACCTGTGTGGAGAGTCGGGATCGAAGCAGGTCTTGGTGACGTCGGTGATGTCGGGGTCACAGCACTCTCCGCCGTCGAAGTTGAACCGCTCGTAGTTGCAATCCATGTCACACACCCCATTCTGCTGCTTCTTCATGAAGGCAGGGTGGCGCAGGTGGCGGCAATCCCCGCCGTCATGGCCGGTCAGCGTGTGGTTGCATTCGGGGTCGCAGTTCTCGTCCCCGATCTTGCTGATGTCACAGTTGGCCAGGATGAGGCGGTGGCGCAGGGAGGAGTTGCTCACCTCCAGCACCTCGAGCTCCCAGGAGATGTTGTAGTGTTGGAAGGCCTCGGCCAGCTGCCGGTGCTGGAGGTCGATCTGCTGGCGGCTCACGGTGGGGTTCTCGTGGCCATCGTCACGGAGGTTGACCACGCGGTAGCGCACCACCTTGGGCCGGCGGAATCGCGGGAGCTCGTTGTAGCTGGCGATGACCTCTGCGTTGTCGCACAGGGTCTGCCCGCACAGAGGGGGCTCCAGGCTCGTGTCCAGCAGGAAGCTGTGGGCGCCGCTGAACTCTACCTGGGGGCTGTTGCCGTCCTTCATGGGGGACCAGGTGCGCTTCACATTGTCCCAGTTCTCCTGCAGAAGGAGCTGAGGTAGAGGGGTGTGGAGGCCATGGGTCTCCATGTCCAGCAGCACCTCCCGCTGAGTCCTGGCCACTTTCCACAGACTGAAGCGCTCAATGTAGCCCCGGTAGTTGTGATTCAGCGTGCTGCCCCCCAGCATGAGCACTTTACACTTCTGGGTCAGCGGGCTGAATATGCCACCCACCTGCTCCCCAGAGGTTGCCACCTGGGCACCGTTCACATACAGCTTCATCAGCCGCCCATCGTAGGTGGCAGCTAGAAATACCCACTGGCCCGGGAGGTAGCTTTGGTGGGCATTGATGGTGGTCGCTTGCCGGGCCCGGTCCGTCTTCAAGGAGAAAAAGTAGCGTGGGTCTCTGTTGCCTTGGTCACTGACGGTGTGAATGCCCACGACCCATCCTCGGTCACGTGAGGTATAAGAACACTTGTCATATAGCCCTATGTGGCCCCAAAAAAGAAAGATGAATAAATAAAGGATGAAAATAAAGGGGGGGGGTAAGTTATTTCTTTCTGGTAAAATTTATATCAGGGTGTCCTAGACCAATGGTCTTCAAATTGTGCTCTGTGGGGTCCAGGCAGTTACTCTAGGAGCCCCTGGGATCCCCCCGCGGGCAAGGCAAGGACCACAGAAACTGGGAGGGACAGGTGAGTTGGGTTGGGGGAGTTCTCACCATCAGCACCCCAAGCAGTTTCCCTGTTATTGGTTTTGCATAGGAAATGTACAAAGAGCCATTTCTGATTGAAGACTGGGTACCAGAGCTAAAGAGAACAATGACGCCATCACCAATAATGATCATTCGGACCTGGACGCCTTTGACTTTGCCGAGCTGTTGGATGGGGAGGAGGACCTTCTAAGTAAGAGGTATTTTAAGTGGACGATGATACAGGCGGTAAGAAGAGGAACAGGGAGATAATGAACAGAAGGTGTCCATTTAGTGGGATGGCTCCTCACAGGGTCACCATGACTCCTGAGTGTACATCAGACATGAGCAGCAGCCCAGTGCTCAGTGGTGGTGAACCTCCAGGACAGCTGGCCTGAAGAAGCGGGGACAAGGACATCGTTTCTGCCTCCCACAGGAGCTCTGACGCCTGTTCCCAAAGAAAGGCAGGGACCCTGGAGCTGGCAAGCTTCTTGGGGATCAACTTCTTCACCAGAGACCCAGAGAATGGAGGGCACCTGCCAGGTCAGCCAGAGGCACGGACACATTTCCTGAGATTCAACTCGGCTTCTTTTTCTCTAACACTAAAGTTAATGTTTAAATACAGAACAATGAGCAGCCTCTTAACATAGGCAGATGTTGGGGACTCCTACATAATGGTTAATAAGAAGTAAAATCCACCAAGCCTTGCAGGCAGGTCAGGCATTGTGCTAAGGTCTATGCACGCATTACTTCATTTGATCTAGGTAACACTCCCAAGGTGGTGACATTCAGGTAACTGAGGAGGAAGTGGAACTAAACAAGGTAAAGAGATAAGCTTAAGGCCAACTGGTTGGTGAGTGGACACTGGATCCATCTGACCCCGGAATTCACTGTCCTTTGCATTAACACAATAGCATCTCCTTCTCCCTCGTCAATGCCGCCAGGGATCTGGGCCGCACCATCTGCCTGGGGATGTCACCGGTTTCACTTGGGTGTTTGGGAACATTTTAAGCCACACATCTCTAGACTCACTGTGGGAACCCCAGGAAGTCACTTAACAGATTCTCTCTGGATCTAATTATCTTTACACTCACCAACTCCCTTTCCCCAGCCTTTCTGGAATAGATCCAGTGTCCTTGGCACAGACAGGCTGCTGGACGGGGAAGAGGACTTTCTAATTAAGAGTGTATTCTAAGTGTCAGATGCTGCATGGGGCCAGGTGGGAGGAGAAAGAGAGGGATATGAGGATGAATAAAAGATGCTCATTTAGAAGGACAGGCCCCGCTGGCTGGCAGCAGAGACTCACCGCGGTCACCGTACCTTGCAGTGCGTCTGCCGTTAGCGCTCAGACAGCACAGAGAGCTTCCCAAAAAACCAAGAGGCGGCCCACACAGCCTTTACTCCTCTGTGCAACTGGGGCCTTAGAATTTGTGTAAATGTCTCCATTAGCAGCTGACGGGGATGGCAGTTTCGGCGTCAGGCATCCACCTACACCTCTCCTCCCACTCTCTCCCCAACAGTCAGAGTGTCCTCCCAACCTCAACCTGTTCCTCCAGGCTGAGCAACCTTGGTGAAGCCCCAAGTATCTCTTCTGGTCTTGGTTCTCCACCTGGTGAAGAAGGACCCTGAATGGAGAGCCCCTCTCATGCTTGGTGTAAGACTGCTTTCCTGTGCTTCTGTTTCCTAATGGCTAAAACACAAAAGCCACCTCTTCCAAGAAGCTCTCCCTGATAACCCTATAAGGAATGATTGTTCTTTTCTCTGGACTCATTTTACTTTTAGAAAACGAGACAGTTGCTTTCTGGTTTTAGAGTCTTCTTACCACAGCCTTTCCCACTCCAAACTGGATTTTTTTTTAGAGTGATGCCTCCTGTTTGGGTCCCTGTTCCATCAGCAGCATGCTCCATGCCTTGCCTACCGTAGGCACTTAGCGTTTCGTGAATGAGCACATGAATGATTACTGGGAGAAGAGAAAAGGACAAATGGAAGCAAAAGCACGAAGTCATGTCTCCATGGCTAAGGGACAGAGAGAGTCAGCAGACAGAGTGTGTTCTCGGTGGGGTAGGAAGAGGAGGGTCTCTGGACTTGGGGTGATCTGATGACAGCAATTACTAGCTACCCATCTGGGGCGCATCACTCCACCGCTGTAGCTCTCAGTACTGAAAGGACACAGCCGATAAACCGCCCTCGGCATACGGGGTTCTCCAAACGGAAGTCCATTTTTCAGATGCTCGAGGGTCTGACAGTGATGTCAAGGATGAAAAGCAGAAAATGACAAAAGAGCAAAACACAGAAAGGTCAGAGAGAGCAGGCACCCGAAGGGCATCTTGACCCATGTGCCAAGAGCAGGTAGGATACAGGCTCAGAAAAGCCTCCTGCAGTCCCCTGGGAAACCCTACCCAGAACTCACGAATCCCCGCAGGCTTAGCCGCTAGCAGGACCCTGCACCTCCATACCGACCCCTCCAAAGCCAAGCTTCTGACTCCAGATTGGGAACAAGTTACCCCACTACAGGAAACAAGGAAGACAATGGTTCCTGGACCCCCCACTCTTGTTGCCCCCCACCCTACCTCTAACCTCACCTTCTCCTCCTCCCCCTGGCTGACCCCCAGCCCCTACACTTGAACAGGACTCTTCTAATGAGGAAATTAACATCTGAAACAGGATCCTCTCTCTCTCTCTCTCTCTCTCTCTCTCTCTCTCTCTCTCTCTCTGCAGGTTTTTATTTTGCCAGGGGCTCTGAGTTCTTGGTTTTCCTGTTGCCTTTGGAAGGCAGCTAGCAGGGTTAGCTAGGTAAAATGTTTACACATCTGTAGGGTGCCCTCGGTTCAGAACCTTCCCGGGGCTCGGGACCCTGCTCAGGACCTCTGTTTGCAGCTGAGAGATGAAGGAAGCCCCGAGGAAGGGCCAGACTGCGACACTGGAGCGCCGAGCCAGGACCAAGAGGTGGCCGGGCCCCAGGAGGCAGAGGAAGGGCAGAGACGGGGTTTCAGTGGAACAAGAGGAAACACATGAAGGGAAATGAGAACCTTGAAGCGGCCGCTTCAGAAGTTCAGAGGGAAAATATTGACCTGCCGTGTAAGTGGCGAAAAGAAATCCCTGACTTCAACAGAGAAGGGGTGGGGGACAGAGGGGTGAAGGGGACTCATTTCTCTGTGAAAATAGCTTCATCAACAGCAGTCACATTTCAGGGGCTGGGGTGGAGGGTGAGTGTCACCAGCACAGAACCAGGGACGTGGAGCCAGAGGACTCACTTGCTGGGTGAACTTGCCTGGGCCGAGCCACCCCCCCCCCATGTGTGGGGCCTCCGTTCCTTTCTCTGAAAAAGGAGGGGTTCGGACTAAATACTCCCCCACCACCATTTAAGAGCTCTTTTGTTCACAGTTGGAATGGCTCCTTGGAAGCAGAGGTAGACAAAAATATGTGTTGATGCGACTCGAGACCTCGCGTCACTGCCGACTCCTGCGTGCTTAGGCCCTTTCCCCTGCGTATCCCCCCACGGACATGGACCGGCGTCCTCTGGAGGACACCGTGTGCCCGCGACACCTCCCCGTTGGCTCTCCCGAGGTTCTCCAGGAAGATGGAGGCGCAGGGGGAGAAGCTGTGAGACTGAAGTGGGCGCCATCTGTGGGGGGCTGAGGCCGTCCCGGGGGACGCAGGCCCACCTGGCGAGCCGGGAGCCTCGGGCGATCCTGCGCACAGCGTCTGATCAGCACGGGCTGCCTCCAGGCTGTGATCACGTGGAGCAGACCGGGAGGTGGGGAGCCTCTCCCAGACCCATGAGGGGCGCGGGGCCCGCTGCACAGACGCAGAGGCGGAGGCCCGGCCCAGGAAGGGGACTCGCCCTGCGCCACCACCCCGGGCACTCGGACCCTGGTCAGCTGCCGTTCCTGTGTACCCGTCTTCCTGCAGGTAGGCTTGCAGTGAAAGGGCCCCACAGCCCCCCAAGGGGCTCGGCTGCCTCGCGTCATCTCCTCTGCCCCTACCCCTCACCCCAAGGCGGAGAGCACACACGAGGGTGAGGCCAGGGGCAGCAGGCTGGGCGTCTCCCAAAGCCTTGGCCAGGGCTGGACGGGGAGAAAGACGCTGCCCCCGGAGCTCTGTCCCCCCACTCCGCCTGTCCGAGGGCCCCGCACCCCGACCCTCATCCGGGTCTCTCTGCATCCAGCAGCCTGGTGCCTCCAGGTGCTCCACAGACTTTGTAAAAAAATAAAGGGAGGGAGGAGGGAGGAAGGAGGGGTGCTTCTCTATCGCTGGCTTCCTCAGAGAGCAGGTGCCCCTGCTTTAGAACTAAGCACCATGTGCCCGACATGAGTTTTCTCACGGAATCTCGCGAGCCAGCTACCAGCACTGCCCCTTTGCAGAGGACACTGAGGCCCGGGGAGGGGAGAGGCTGCCCGAGGCAGCACGGCTGGGAAGTCCGGCCTGCAGGGGTCCGAGGCTCGGGTTCCTCATCAGTCATCGCACGGGGTGCCCCGAGTGGGCTGTTTGAGGGCACGGCCCCTCCACACATATCTCCATAGTCCCACAGCGCCTGCCCAGGCACGACACTGAACCGCAAGCCGGGGGCTGCTGTCCGTGTCGTTCTGCCTGGGCCCGAGCATCACCCCGGATCGAGGGCTCTTCACAGCTAGTGCTTCGCGAATCTGCTCTCCTTGGCTCACCCCGCTTCAGGGGGACCCCAGCTTCTCCTGGACCTGCTGTCCATCTGGAGTTAGGAATGCCTCCCTGGGCGTGCCCTTCACCTGGACTGCCGTCTCCAGCCTCCTTGCCTGTCGGTTCCGATCCAGGCTGGTC